TGTACGGGACCATCACGGAATTCTGCACGGAGAGCAGCTGCCCTGTCATGTCTGCAGGGCCCAGGTGAGGGCTCTGCTGGGGGCTGGGGACACATTTCTCACTGGGGACACGGGTGGGTGCCCAGAGCACTCAGGGGTGTGGAGAGAGAAGCAAAGAAGGGCATGGGATGTGTCCCCACGGGCTCCAGGCCCAGCTCTGCGCTCCTCTGGTGGTGTCCACCTGCTCCTGGTCACACCCTCTGGGATCTCTTCTTTTCCCTGTCCATCAGGTCCTTATGTCTGGGAGCTGAAAGGGTGATTTTAAAGAAAACGAGGGATCCAACTCAAACTGGAAGAGTCTGGTCTTGTTGTCAAAGCCAAGACACATTTTGGGGCCCCCTCACTGATTTTAGGGGTGAATCCTGCAGGGACAACACCAGCTGTTGGCTCTGCACTCGTATTTTGCCAAGGCAGAGCTCCAGCTGGGAATCTTCTCTGTAAAATTGCTCAGGGCTCTCAGTTTTTAAGCCCAGCTTTGCGGGTGCCCTGGAACGTCCTGCCCCGCTTTCCTCCCCAGCACTGCCACTTCCTGCCTCTATTTCTGGGGCCATTTCCTGTAACAACAGGAAATGTTTGAAGGGCACTGTTTTCACTTGTAGAGCGAGAGGTGACAGTGGGGGGTGGGTCCTGCTTTTGAGGGATTTTGTGGGAGATCTCAGGGAAGGTGGGTTGTGTGCTGTCAGTCCTTGTCTGCCCCGGTTTCGGGGGAGCCCTGGGATTGATGAGCACACGTAGGGATTGGATCTGGAGGCTCCCAACTCCTGGGATAGTCTATCACAGAAGTCTTGTGTGAGTGCCAGATTCCTGGAGGGTGTCTGGAAGCCAGAGGGGAATTTATCCAGGTGGTGGGTGATGGCCCTGGGCTTCCTTTTGGGCAGTTTTTGGGTCGTTTTAAGGAAATGATGATGTCAGAAGAGGTTGCCGTGAAGTTGAGGCTCATTTTTAACATCCAGAGGGGCAGTGGAGGGGCAGCTCTGACCTCTGCTCGCTGTGAGCAGGGACAGGACCCTGGAATGGCTGGAGCTGTGTCAGGGCAGGCTCAGGGTGGATCTCAGGGAAAGGTTCTTCCCCCAGAGGGTGGTTGGCACTGAACAGGCTCCCCAGGGCAGTGGGCACAGCCCCAAGGCTGCCAGAGCTGCAGGAGGCTTTGGATGATGCTCTCAGGGACAGGGTGGGATTTTGGGGTGTCTGTGCAGGGCCAGGAGCTGGACTCTGATCCTGATGGGAATCAATCCCGTGATTTGGGAGGGTGAAGCCCTGGGGGGGTCAACACTGTCGTGTTGGGCTTGACAAACTCGAACAGGCCAAGAGCTGCTCTTGCTCCCCAGTGTGGCCCCTTCCTGAGACCAGGAGGAGGTCACAGGGCCTGGAGATGGCCTTTTCCCTGGGGGAGCACAGCCTGCCTGTCCCCCTGTCCCCCTGCCCCAGGTACGAGTACCACTGGGCCGACGGCACCAACATCAAGAAGCCCATCAAGTGCTCGGCGCCCAAATACATCGACTACCTGATGACGTGGGTGCAGGACCAGCTGGACGACGAGACCCTCTTCCCCTCCAAGATCGGTGAGTGGTGCTGTGGGACACGGGGTGGCACCTCCCGAGTGGAGGATCACAGGATCACACCCTGATGCCCGTGTGTCCCAGGTGTGCCCTTCCCCAAGAACTTCATGTCAGTGGCCAAGACGATCCTGAAGCGGCTCTTCCGTGTCTACGCCCACATCTACCACCAGCACTTCGACTCGGTGATCCGGCTGCAGGAGGAGGCCCATCTCAACACCTCCTTCAAGCACTTCATCTTCTTCGTGCAGGTGAGCTGGGGGGGCTCTCCTGCTCCCCGTTTTAAGGGTTTTTAAGCCGTTCCCTGAAGAGGAGCGGCTGTGGCGTGTGCTGGGAGATAACGCCCAGCCCCCCTCTGCACCCAGCTGTGCTGTTTGTGGCCTTGGGCTTTTTGTGGGTTGTTTTTTTTTTTTTTTCCAGGAAGTGGGGCTGAGTTGGCTGTGAATGCTTGAGTTTCTCTCTCAGGTTTCAGTTATCAACCTGCAGCAACAAACCCAGGCTTAGAACAGAACCTGGGGGCAGTTTGCAGCTTAACAATCGACTCAGAAGCAGCAGCACCAGCGCCTTTTTTTCCCTGTTCTGTGCACAGCAACGTGGCAGAAGTTTTGTTGCCCCTGAAACACTTGGATTTCTCCCCAGAGAACAGGGAGAGGTGGCTGCTCCTCTGTGGTTCTCCCAGGAGCTGCCCCACGGTGCCTTCCAGGGTGACCAGCCACGTTTTCCAGCAGCTCTCTGAGAGCTGCCTTTAATTTTTGTGTCTCTTTTCCCTTGCCAGGAGTTCAACCTGATTGACAGGAGGGAACTGGCTCCTCTGCAGGAACTGATTGAGAAGCTGGGCTCCAAGGACAGATAAAACATTCCTTGGGGGGACCCTTCTGGCCTCTCCTTTCTGCTTCTTCTTCAGCCACCTCAACGCTTGGCTCCAGGAACGCTGGACACACCGAGCGGCTCCACTCCTGCTGTGCAGCCCCCACTGGGCTCCTCTGCCCCACACCCGTGGGCTGGGTGAAGGTGGAGCAGGTTTTGTCCCTCACAGGGGTGACATTCCAAGTCCTGCACAGCTGCTTCCCGCTCCCAGAGTTCCCCTCTGGGCTCTGCAGCCGCCTGGCGGGGGCTGAGAGCTGCTCAGCTTATTTTTGGAAGTGCTTTTTTTTGGTTTTGTTTTTTTTTTTAGGATAAGAGGTGCACTTTGGCCCAGAGCCTTAAAGCTCCCCTTGGCAGCAGCACTGAGGGGGGGAGACAAGTGCCTGGTCCCAGGGGGGTGTCCCTGTCCCTGGGAGGGAGGAGCAGCTCTGGAGTGTCCCCTGGATGGGAGGGGACACAAGGGAGGGACCCTCCTGTGTGGCAAGGCAATAATAAAAGTTTCTTCCTGCTCTTCTTTCAGAGGAAGAAGGGGGAGGTCTCC